ATGTTTAACTGCACTGGGTCTGGTGGTCACTCTGTTCCCCTCCTCCTCTGCCTCCTTGAGCACCTGGGCCGCTGGCCATAAGGGATAAAGTCCACACCCCCCAGGCAGAGTCCCTGGGCCCAAACCGGGGAGGGAGTTAGAGAAGGGATGGAGCCCAAGAGGGACCCATGTGCCCACCAGGGAGTCCTGGGGACACCGCCTGTTTCCTCACCCGAGCCCTAACCACCACCCCTGCAAGAGAGAGCCAGTCCTGGAGAAGGAGAATGGAGTCACGGTTACCTGCTCCCCCCAAGCCCCCATTCAATCTCCTCCCTCAATTCTAAAATGTCCTGGCATTTTCCCCCGTGGGATGCCAGAGACCACACACCCATCCTGGAAAAGAACCATTCTGCTTGACATCCTTCTCAGTAAAGAGTGCATCCTGTGGTGTCACCTGTCATGTTCCAGGTGACAATTTAAAAACATTTTTTATTTATTTACTTGGCAACTCGGTCTTAGTTGCAGCTTGTGGGATCTATTTCCCTGACCAGGAATCAAACTCAGGTCCCATGCATTGGGAGCCTGGAGTCTTAGCTCCTGAACCACCAGGGAAGTCCCTCCAGCGACATTATTTTAAAGACAAACTGTTAAATGTTCCACATGAGTAACACAGCGGTGAGCATTCATGAATTATCACACGCTGTAATCAGCACTACTGAACCAATACTTGGCACTGAGTCACTAACTAAAAACGGTAACCAGTCGTCACGTACTAATAACATAACCATGACTCCTCCGTGAAGAAATGCACTCCTCTCTGATCCTTAGTATCTACAGACATCCTCAGGGCACAGTGGGGCCGTCTAACGCCCTTGGCATCGGCATCCTATGCGCTCTCTCTCTTCCTGATGTCCAGAGCTGGGGTTCGCTTGGCTGTGCCCCCACCCCAGAGCCTTCCCTCTGAGATCCCGCTTTCTCAGTTGCCCAGCGGTGGCACATTCTGCTGTGGTCTCACTCGGGGTCTCCAGCCCTGGGCATCCTGGGTGTTGGGAAACTCAGGGTGCCGGTAGCCCGGGATCCAGGGAGTGGGAGAGGTTCCAGCTGAAGGCCCGGGTCCTGCAGCAACCGGGATCTGGGTATTCAGGTAGAGTCAGCAGTTACGTAAGAAAGAAGGACAGCAAGGAGACTCCAAGATTCTTAGCCTTGAAACTGGTCTGCTCCCGGCTTGAGGCCTCTGCCATCAGTTCTCAGCACCACAGATACAAAGATGGTGTTCAAGTGTAAGATTGGCCACTCTGCTCAAACTTCTGCCCTGACTCCCCATCCCTGGAGCAAAAGCCGAACCTCACAGTGGTTGACAAGCCTTGCATGACCCACCCCCCACAGTGACTCCCCTCCTTTGACTCCCCAGACACACCAGCCAGCCTCCTGCTCTAAGGCCATTAAAACCTTTTGTTTCCTCTGCCCCAGGGTGCCCTCCCCACCTCCAGTATCCCCAGAACCGGGTCTCACCCCCTACCCCAAAAGCTGTCACTCAAGTGTTCTCAGTGGGCCGCCCCACCCTGCTCCTGTGATGCTCAGGGACTTCTGATACGCTGTGTCATTTCCTTGTTTTCTGTGTTTACTGTCTGTCTCGCCCCCACCCATACCCAGAAAGAAAGTCCCACAAAGACAGGGAGGTGGTCTGTTCTGTTTCCGTTTTATCACCACAGTCGCTCCGGGCAGGTAGCACATTCTCGGTTTGTAACCACCATTGGGTGACTTACATGGGTTGGCCTGATTCTAGAAAGTCACAGGGGCTGGGGGTGGGGGCAGGTGCTCAGGGTGGACTGGCCACAATGTCTGGACAGCAAGGAGGGCACTTACCTAGAAGGCTCCCCTTTTTCCCCATCTTCTGCTGGATGCTGATTTTACATTTTATTTATTTATTTTTTAAGTTCTTGTTTTTTTGCTTTTTGGTTTTTTTTTTTTTTGATATGGATCATTTTTTAGGTGTTTATTGCATTTGTTACAATATTGCTTCTGTTTTGTGTTTTGGTTTTTTGACCATGAGGCATGTGGGATCTTGGCTCCCCAACCAGGGACTGAACCCACACCCTCTGCATTGAAAGCCCAAGTCCCAGCCACTGGACTTGGTTTCTTCACACCACTTTCTCAGTGTCTCTGGTTTTCAGCTACTGTGTTTCACCGCCGACCTGTCCTCCATCATATTCTTACCTCAGCCCTTGCCCTGTTCTGGGGCTCACTTCTAATTGGATCTACCAAACCTCCAGGCTGGAAGGAACCAAAGACAGCACTTGCATTTTCAGCTTGGAACTGACGCTATGCTTTGGGGACGTCTTCTTCCCTGAGCTTCCCAACCAACAAACATTAGTAACAATAAGGAAGGTCTTCCCTCCAAGCACAAAAGCTTCTATTTGCAGCTGTGAAGTTGGAGAAAGCACCCAGCAGAGGCAGGCTGATAGCACATGTGACCCCGGGAGGTTCATGCCATGACCCCAGCATCCTCAGAACCTGCTCAGAACCATCCTCGAATACCCTGGGAGTCCCAGCCCTGATCTGAGAGCCATGGGTTTAAATAAAAGCACTTAAACCGGGAGGAGGGGATCAAACCAACCTAGGAGGTCTCTGTCCTCCCCTTCCCCGCCCCCTGTCTCATGTCGGCAGTGAAGGGCCCTGTCACAAGGAGGCGTCTGTCCCTTCCAGACCAAGAAACAAGGTGACGATACGAAGTGTTGGGCCTGTGCTCTGAGGGGGCGAGGAGGGTGAAAGGCACAGAAAGGATGAGACTCTGGGAACACCAGAAACCAGAAGAGCAGGCCTGTCTGGGTCCCTGCACAGACCGGGGGGTCCTGGACGGGCCCCCATCACGCCAGCAGAGGCGCCACCCATGTGTCCATCTGCTGGCTCTGCGTGACTCAGGGCCTTCAGAGCAAAGCTGGGCATTGGCCTCCAGCCCCAGAGCCCCTCAGAGCACTTCCTCCAGCTGCTGTTGTCCGCCAAGGAAAGAGAAGAGGAAGCCTGAGGCCTGGTGTCCCACTGGAGAAGACGGGGTGAGAGGAAGGGGATGGCGTCAGGATTCCGCAGATGGTCCCAGGACCCCCAAAAAGGGTCCTGGGGACCAGCGTGCTGGAGGACAGGCCCTGCCCAGGGAGGAAGTGGCCACCTCCTACCTCCACACCCCTGCTCCTTCGGTGAAGAATCAGAGGCCGTGGTCGTGATCCTGACCTGCGTTTCCTTTTCTGAGACCCAGCCACACGTCCCCAGGCCTCACAGACCTAAATGGGCCCCCGAAGCAGAGCTCAGGCACAAACCCACTGGGGGACGCTTCCCGTAGACAGGGTGACACCGTGCTCCTGCCCTTGCCCCTGCTCCCCCTTCCTTCCCTTCCTCAGCACAGGGGTCCCCACAGACACCAGAATCCCTCCCCCACCTCTTCGTGCCAGTCCTGCTAATTCCCAGGCCGACCTCGCGGTCCCATTCCAGAGCGGCTTGCGGAAAGCAGCTCACCTCCTAATCTTCTTGCTGTGTGAGGGGGTAAGCTGGTCACCGGGTCCAGACACAGAGCCCCCAGGCCCAGCTTAGCCTCCCACCCCTCCTCCTCCCCGGACTAGCTGAATCCGACCACCCTAGGGCCCAAGGGTCTGAACAAGCTGTCGGAGGGTCCAGAGCTGGGTGGGGATCTCCTGCCTTCCCTGGAGATGCCAGCCGACCAAGCAAAGTCCTGCAGCTTCAGACTGCCGGCCAGAGAGTCTGGGGGAGGGAGAACACACCGGCCCATTCCCACCCACTCTGGAAAAATACAAGTTAACCTCTGGTCCCCGGCCAGTGCCCAGCTGCCACCATCCTGAGAGTAAGAATGGGCTCAGAACCTCCCTATGTTCTCCTCCCTCCTGACCTCCCACCCCTACTCTGTGCTGTGGGCTTTCTCTCCCCAAAACCACTTTAACTGGGCTCACGCACAGGGAGGCCCCCACGCCCCCAACAAGGGTGAGTGTTGCATTAAGGTGCCTAAAGTCCTCGTGGCCCACAAAGCTCCCAACCCCTCAGTCTTTCCCTGTGATTTGTCTCAGTATTTCCCCTCCTCCAGCCCAGACTGCAGCCCTACCCCGCCCCTAAAACCAGACCTGGGACCTAGTCCCACTAAGTTTTACCCACCGACGAGGAGACCTTCCGAACCCACTGCTCTGCCCAGAGGACTTCAGCACCTGGGATATCCCTGAGGGCCTCCCCAGAGACCTGGCAGTGGGGGTGGTGGGTGCCTAAAAGAAAGTCCATGTGGGAAAGTGACCCACATTGCTATGGGGGCAGTGGGATCACTGCAGGGCCTGAGAGGCAGGAAGGATCCAGAAAGGAACTAGAATCCATGCTCCCCCACCCCATACAAACATTTCAATGGGAAAATTATAGATGAAGAGCCACAGGGATCAAAGGAGATACGTTGGGGGCGATGTCACAGTGCAGGTGGGGTGGGGCGGGGGACAGGTGGCCCTGGTTGCAGAGTCTTGAGGCCACGGGACAGCTGGGTGCCAACATCAGCACAGCTATGGTTTCTGAGGCCCTTTGCCCACGACCTCCAGTCCTGACAAACACCTTGAGGGGCAGGAAGAACCGTCTCTGTTCACTGCGCCCACCTGAGGTCCCAGGGCTTGCCCCAGGGCACAGGAGTGAATAGCAGAGCCAGAACCCAAACCCCCATCCATCTGGTCCCAGACCACACCCGTGTTTCTCTGCTGCCACCATGGGTACCCAGGAAGTCACCCCCGTCCAGGTGCTCCTCCTGCAGGGTCCTGAGCGACTTCTCAGGGTTTGTCCAACTCCAGCATCCTCCGCATCCATAGGGCTCCCCAGAGCGCAGTAGGTGCAGGAGGTGGAGACAGCCTTGCAGGGGTGAAGGGTGCAGTGCCTCTCACCTCTCCCTGTTTTTGTAACAGAGGCAGGAAACTTCCATCCACTGCCCAGGCGGGAGGCCCCGGGCAGGCACAGCTCTCCCCCACCGCGCCCATCTCAAGTGAACTCACCTCCCCCGTTTTTGTAGCAGAGGTAGGGGAACCTCCAGACGTTGCCCAGCCCAATAATCTCCCCAGCCACGGACAGCACGAACTCCATCTTGTTGCTCCACTGGTCTCGCTGCAGGGCGCCGTCCTCCGCCGCCTTTTCCACGCCTGGGCACACTGGTTTGGTCTCTCCATTGCTGGTGGTGCCCGAGACCTTGCTATCCATTCCCCCTGAAAGACAAGCAGGGCACTATGCTACTGCTGGGGGCTGGGGGGAGGGTGCCTGGAAGGAAAGCTGCCCCTTTCCTTTCCAGCAAATTCCCAAAGGAAAAGTGCCCGGGAGGAGAGTGACTCCTACTGCTATCTGCAAACCCGCACTCCCCTTGGCATCTCTGGTTGGTAAAGGTTGAGTATATATGTTCCTTTCCTGCTTCAGTAAGAAAGCATTGACTCTGAGGCCCAGACATTTTACCCCTAGAAGGTGCCTTGGGTGGGGGCTTGTGGACATGGGGAGCCCACCTGCCCCGGGCTGAGTTCTCCCTGCCACCCTACAACCAGCCTCGTCTGCGTTAGCATGTACCTCAGTCTCTCTATTCCATGTTTGAGGACAGTTGAAGGGATGGGATTTGTATGTATCCTTAAGCCAAAGATTCTCCTTTGGGGAATTTACCCCATGAAGATAACTGTGACTCTGTGTAAAGATTCAGCACTGAGGATGTTCATGCTTGTAGCAGTGAAAAGTTAGAAAGTACATAAATGTTCAAATATGGTAACTAGGTTAATAAATTATGGCTCAGACAATGGACTACTATATAATCATTAGAAACTGTGCTGCAGAAGAAAGACAAAGAGGTGTTCACAAAATGTGAAATGCAAACTGTTACAAAATAGACCACGTGCCATGATGATGGTGGGAAAAATACCTTATAAAGTATTTGCATGCATGAAAATTAGGATATTGACCAAGGCATTTCTTTCTCAGTGGATGGGTTTTAGAGATATTTTCCTTATCTATACTTTCTACATTTTCATCAAAAATATGTTTTTGTAAAAGGAATGTGAAAGCCAGCATTTTTAGATCCTTGCAAGAAGATGAGAAAGATTGAGCAGAACCAGGGACTCTAAGATGAGCTGACCTTCCCAGGTACGCCCTGCATCGCTCTCTGAGAGCAATGTAAGAGGAAGACAACCCGTGGGCTCCTTTTCTTTTCTGATGATGCCAGCGCAAGACTCCGTTACTGCAGAGACAACATAAGATGAACGCAGAGCTGCAGGCTACACCCTGCCTGGCCCTATTCTAGACTCGCACTGGGGTTGAAGGTGAGATTGGACGGGGTCACATTCAGAGAACAACTACTGTAGGCCAGGTGCTTTACATGCCTTTATGTCATTCAGTCCACGCGGCCCCGGGATGTGACAGAATTCCCTCAGCTTTGTAAGCAGGGAGCTGCCCATCAGAAAGGTTGGATGACACATGTGCAGCCATGTGGCACAGCCGGGACCTGACCCCACGATGTCCTGCTTGTTCAGCTACCTCCCTCTCTCACACTGGCCGGTGGGTTTAGCAGCGAGTCTAATGTAAGTATCCCTGATTGTATACAGCGGTCCCTTCTCTGCAGAAGTGGGTACATGTGCTTCTTTCTACACGCACCCCTCCCACGAAAAGTTCCTGGGAACAGAACTTTCTCACAAGAGCCCCATCCGGCCACAACCCTCCTGCAGTTCTGTCTCCCCAGAGTGGCTGTCCCGGGGGATCCAGAAAGCCAGAGGGAGGTCAGGAATGTGCTGCTTATTTGATGAATGAGGGAACGGGCTCCAGAGACCGTGGGTTAAGAAGGAGAAACTCAAGCTGTTGGTCCCCAGAAGCTTCCCCAGTGCTTCTGAGATGGTCGCCTCCTGTCTTAAGCAGGTTCTGGGCCCGATGGTTGTCTTCAATGATTAAACACTACCCCCCTCACTTCTCCACTCCCCAGAGACCCCAGGAGAACAGAAGCCTACCCTAAGTCTCTTAGCCACGTTGGGTAGCAGAGGCAGCATCATGCAATCGAAGCACAAGTCTATACTCAAACCATAGCTCTGCATCAGAGACCACCCGACTCCCAGGAAATGAATTCATCACTCTGAGCCTTGGTTTGCTTGTCTATAAAATGTCTCTTCACTTCATCTCCTGATTCCAGCTCTACTCTCCAAATATAACTGCTAACAATCGTGCAGTGAATATTTCTTCACACTTTTCTATATGCAGATGTGTGTGTGTGTGTGTATATGTATTTGGGAAGTTTTTCTAACTGTCCAAAGTTTCATAATCTACACATCTTTTTTCTAAATCACTGTCCATTCCAAGTTCTAAGCCGTGAAAGGGTAAGATAAATATGCGTTTCAGTTACTCTACACAGCACTTGACCAAAGAGACACCTACTCTCGATGGATTTATATAGGGGCATGACAGGATACACTTAGCCATGAGGATTAAACAAAGAGATGTATATATACATACATCTATTTCATATACATATATTTTTATATATATTTCATATATATGTATATATATTCATGTATATATATATGAAAGCACTTCATAGTATAACAGGCACTTGAATTTTTATTTTCTTTCAATCTTGTTTTATGTTCTTTCAACTTTCTTTTTTTTTTCTTTCAACTTTCAATCTTGTCTCAGAGCAGAGAGCCTTCATTTTCTTAGAAATAAACCCAAATATCTTCCCCTTTCATCTGGGGTCCTCTTTCTCCAAGTTACATTGGTCCTTGAATCAGCAGCCACCAAAATTTCAGAAAGTCAAGAAAATAGCTAGTCTTCGAGTATCACACATAAATGTCATATTTCTAGGAGAGGATCCCAAAACGCTTTCACTGTAAGTCTTATGGATCCTACCCACCTGCAGTCTGACACCCAGAAGCAGGAGAAAAAGAAGAAAACAGCACAAACCTTAGTGTAGTTGCTGCCAGAGGTCCGGTCAGAGGGGAGAAGAATTATCTGGGGGAAGGGGAGGTGATGGCTATTTAAAGTGTGGTTCCCACTCCTCTGGCACTTGTAATTCTAAACTTGGCCCAGCCCACATTCCGCCCTTGTCCCCTCCCCTCAGCTCAAAGGCTCACCCTCGCTCACCCTCAAGTGTGAGCTGGTAGGCAGCACTCTCCTCCTGGGTGACCTCAGGACTCTCGAGCGGGATCCTGCCTTCTCTCTCTCTCTCTCTCTCTCTCCCTCAACTCAAGGGCAGCCATAAATCCACCAAGAGTAGGTGTTTCTTTGGTCAGGTGCTGTGTAGATTACCTTAAACGTGTGTTTATCTTACCCCTTCACAATTTAGGACTTGGAATGGACGGTGATTTAGAGTAAAGATGTGTAGATTTATAGAACTTTGGACAATGAGAAATGCTTCTCAAACATACACACATACACACACACTTATCTGCATATAGAGAAGTCTGAAGAAATAATTTCTGCACGGTTGTTAGTAGTTACATCTGGAGAGTAGGGTTGGGGTCAGGAGATATGAAGAGGCACTTATCACTTCTGCTTTTTAAGCTTTAGTATTGCTTGAATTTCTAAACAATGTGCTACAATTGATTTCTTTAAATAATTGTCTAAACCAACACAGAAAAGGACGTGCCAAGATTCACAGAAAAGCAAAGCCCTACCCAGGTCATGGTGCAGGAGCGGACTGACGGGGAGGAGAGGAGCGGAGGGTGGAGTCAGGAGCCCCAGCCCCACCAGGGGCCAAGGAGACACGCTGAGTGTGTGTGGGGCTGCTCCGGCTCCGGGCTCCGAGGCCAAGGTAGTCCAGGGTCTGGGTCCCACTTCTGACCCTTCCCAGGCTGCTGTGGGGAGCAAGGTGTCCAACCTCTAAAAGTCCTGTTTTCTCATCTAGATAAAGAGGAGCATCCGATGGATCTAGAGATAGTTATACCAAGTGAAGTAAGTCAGACAGAAAGATACGACATGATATCACTTATCTGCAGAATCTGAAATATGATACAAATGAACTTATCTAGGGTAAAGAATCTGCCTGTAATGCAAGAGACACAGGAGATGCAGGTTTGATCCCTGGGTCGGGAAGATCCCCTGGAGAAGGAAATGGCAACCCACTTCAGTATTGTTGCCTGGGAAATCCCATGGACAGAAGAGTCTTGTGGGCTATAGTCCAGAGGGTTGCAAAGAATTGGACACGACTGAGCATGAGCACAGACAGAAGACAGACAGGGACACCCCTAGATGTGGAATGGCTAAGACTCTGCACTCCCAGTGCAGGGGGCCCGGGTTTGACCCTTGGTCAGGGAACTAGATCCCACATGCTGCAACTAAAGATTCCACATGCCACAACTAATATCCGGTGCAGCTGAATAAATAAATAAATTAAAATATTTTTTAAAAAGACCAAAAGAATCCCACAAATGGACTTATCTACAAAACAGAAACAAGCTCACAGACACAGAAAATAAACTTATAGTTACCAAAAGGGAAAGGGGAGGGGGAGGGATAAACTAAGAGATTGGGATTAGCAGATACCCATGACTACATATAAAGTAGATAACAAACAACATCCTACTATATAGCACAGGGAACTCTCTTCAGTACATTGTAATATCCTACAATGAAAAAGAATCTGAAACAGAATATATATATATGTATACATATGTATAACTGAATCACCTTGCTGTACACTTGAAACACTGTAAATCAACTATACTTCAATAAAATAAAAATTTTTTTAAAAAGAGGGGAATATTCCTTACCTTGCAAGGCTGTGGGAGGTTCTAGGAGATCTGAGTACATGTAAAGCGTCTATAACACACAGCCAGCCCTTATTTACCCCTAAGGAAGTGTTCACGGTCAGCAGGGACATATCCTGAAGGGGACGGGGCTGAAAGACCCCTGAGCAAAGCCATCTCCTGCTGGACAGAAGGGATGAGTCAGGGGATATGAGGGATGCAAGGGGTGGGATTGTACAGCCGTGCCAGAAATGAGGGTAAATCAGAGATGATGAGGTAGCATCTATTCCTCTTATCCTCCACCAGCCTTGAGGGCTTGGAAGCAAATCACGAAAACACAGCGAGCCTCTAAGAGATGATTATTCTTATGTTTCTTCTGCCTCTTTCCTCTCCCTACCTATCCATCCGTCTGACTTGAGTGTGTAAGCAATAGATCACAAGGTCCTCCCAGGGAGGCTGCAAACTCACGCAAAAGACCAAAAAGCAATGAACTCTCAT